TTGCTCTCAGCCTCCCTAGTAGCTGGAACTGTAGATATGTACCACCATGCCCAGCTTGTTACTTTTTCAAGAAAAACTAAAATGACCAGGCTAACTATATCCCCACATACACCATTTTCATTTGACTAGGGAAGCCTGCTGGATCTTTTGATTAAAGTCTGCATTAGCCTGGCCCAAAATAGGGATGTTAGACCAGAGTTACAAGGTTAGATGTTGTCTCAACAAAAGCTCAATAGCAACCTTTCTTAAAAGGCTTATGTAGTGACTGCAAAGCACCAAGTAGCCCCTCCATATTGTGAAAGATTTGAGTACTGCAGGAGTGGCTGAGTTTTCAACTAAGTTTGATTTTTCTCTTTTCCTCTTGGGATTCTATATTGTTTCCAGTAGACTACACCAACCTTTGTGCAGTAGTCTCTGAATGGAAACTGAAAGCATTCCATCAAATGTATAATTGATATCAATAGCACACTTTGATACAAAAGCCATAAACCAGCAGTACATTAATCAGTTTGGTGACTCTAGGCACAAGTCATTTTAATTTCCCTTCCTATTACAAACTGATCAAGTTTAGAAAATCTATCATTGAATTGAGGTGTTTCTCCAGCATGGGAACCTAAATCAAGAAACTGACAATAGGTATGCTGGAGGCCCCAGCCAGGTAAGGGGGCACATCAAGGGATAGGAGGGCTAGCCTGTAGGGGATGGTTGTGCTAATGGGAAGGCCAGTGCTGCCTCTTCCTGTTTTGTACCTGAAACAAAGACCTCAGAGGCTCCTTTTGTTTTTTGTTCTCCCGCATGACACACTGAGCATCTGCCCTATAGTTGTTGGCATTTTTTTTTTAATCTCCCCAATGCACAGGGCTTCCTACCCCCATGAGATCAAGTAATATGGTGACTTGAACAATTATATTCAACAGACAGAGCTATAAAAGGAGTGAAGTCTCCACCCCCCCCAAAAAAAAACAACAGAAAAAGGGATCAGAGATACAAAGGGAGAGAATAATTTCATCAGTAGGCAAGGCCCTGTATTACCTGCTTGGACTCAACTGTCTCATGTTTTTGGTCCGGAGCTCTAAATCCTTATTGAGGCAATCATTTACTTCACTTTGGGTAACACTTTACTTATTAGCACAGGCCTTTCAGCTGGGCCCTTGGGCTTGCTGCCTCACTATCAGAACATTCTTTCCACCTCCTGCCCAGAAGCTGGGGAAGAAGGCTGAACAACATAAGTACTATTTGGGGAGTGTTTCAGTCCTACCTCTTTCTGCTTAGCCTCAAGAGAGTAATTGGACAATGCGGGAAGGGGGGGGGTGGTTCTTACTGCTCCCTTCACTTGACAGCATATGCTACCAGATCCCAAAAATCCTTATATCCCCTAACCTGGCCCATGAAGACACTTGTCCTTTCTCCTTTTGAAAACCACATGTTCTGATACCATTTTGTGGGGGAATGGGGAAGTGTGCCAGGAATTCAACTCAGGGCACTTGACTACTGAGCCACATCCCCAGCCCCATTTTGTTTTTTATATAAAGACAGGGTCTCACTGAGTTGCTTAGTGCCTTGCTGTTGCTGAGATGGGTTGGCTTTGAACTTGCGATCCTCCTGCCTCAGCCTCCCAAGCAACTGGGATTACAGGCATGTGCCACTAACCAGCCAGATACCACTCTTGTTAATAAAACTTTCAGAGGTTATAAAAGGTCTAGAATTTTATCCTACTTGCAAGCTAGTAAGTTAGACTGCTATTCTTTCATGATATTAGCAGAAGACAAGAGACTCCTGGATCAGACCAAAAAAAAACTTTATTACTTATAGTACAATAAGAAACATGAACATAATGTTTGTGCCAGTTCCCCATGACTCCCATTCCCCAAAGTGCCACAGATGGGCCTAGATGAATTCCTCTACGGGCAGACCCTGATGTTGTAGACTCAACCCTTTTATAGTAAACAGTGCAAAACCCTGCTCACAAAGTAGTTTACTGCCAACAGAATACAGAGGAATGGCCTAGGAAGACAGTGACACATGTTGCTTTCATACAAAGCAAGACTCTTCAGGGACATTCAGGCCTSATGCATTACCTTTCCCAGTTCCTTTTTCTCCAAGGTCGCATAATTCAGTATTTGGTGACCAAATACTACTCACTCCTCATCAGTGATTTCCCAGAAAAGTCTGTTTCAGAGAAATCTCCCTGTAAGGCCCAAAGCTCCTTCATGTCAACCAAGATCCACTGCCAAAAATTCTGAGGCCTTTACTATTGTGTCTGCACAGGTCTGAGGCTGGCATGATAGACTGTAGGAAGCTGGCTGTAAGACAGCTCAAAGTTGCCATTCTTTCTTACATACCTAGTTTCTTCCCTTCTTCTTAGGCTCATGTAARTGCTAAGTGCATGTCTGCATCTATCTTTTTCCTCTCTCTATATATATGTAACTAGTTAAAATGGGGCAGAAATGAGGCTGGTTGCCAGATTAATCAGGAAGTCCTCCTAACCAGAGGAGTTAAAAACAAATAACAACAAAAAGGGGCATCTTTTGAGCAATTATCTTTGATAGTTTTCTGTGTTGTGATAAAATAACTGATAAGTCAAACTTAAAGAAGGAAATATTTATTTTGGCTCAGTTTCAGAGGTKTTAGTTCATGGTCACTTGACACTGCTGCTTTAGGTCTGTGGCAAGGCAGAAAACCATGGGAAGGGAACCGAGGGAGCAAACTTCTTTACAAGTTTGGGGCAGGGTCCAGTATCCCCTCCAATTAATCACAAAGTAGTTTACTGCCAAAAGAATACAGAGGAATGGCCTCTGTAATAGCCTAATAGCCTAACTTCCTGCCAGTAGGCRCCACCTCCTAAAAGTTCCACCACCTTCCAATAATAGTAATATAGGTTGGGGAGCAAGCCTTCAACACATGAGCCTTCAGCGAACATTTCAGATCCAAATCAGAGCGATCTCTCAAGTTATTTCCCACTATTCAGCCAGTAACCAGTTCTCTAATTCCTCATTAACATGCAATGTTAAATTTAAGCATTCAAAACATCAGTSTGATAAGTGGACCATAGAAAAGAATATCAAGAAGATCCATGGCATTAAAAAAAGTTTATAAGAATCCCCGTTGATTTTTAAAGTAGCATGGACATYAGAGGAGCTACCTGCACATAATGTTCTTTCAGCTGGGTTTTCTATTTAATAGCAGAGAAGATTGATAATGGGGACAGGATATATTCTATAAAATCAGTGACAATGCAGCTTTCTCAGATGATTTCCATCAAGGAGACAATGGGATGT